ACAGCAACAGTCACTGCTCATACTTAGACCTTCATCTCTTATGTGCATTCATATTTGTCCCAGACCGGCACTTAGTCCTTTGTGTGAGGTTATGCTACTGTTACTTATTCATCAAAAAAATATGTTCTGAATAAGTTTTATTAAATATGAAAAAGAGAATATTAATGACCAGTGACAAAGCTCCTCTTGTCAAAATTGGCTTCCTTTTAACCCATTTATTCTGACATATCTTTGGTTATTTTTCAGACTCTTGAAGCGCAAAAATATAAAAGTCATTTAACAATGTAATGTCATACTTCAGGTTGGAATATGTTGTTGAAACTGTGAGCAAGAATTGTTTATTTTCTTCTTATTCACTGTCCTGTGCCACAGTATAATAAATGGAGATTATGAATGGCACTTTGTGACAGTAAATCAGTTTACACACATTACAAAAACAGCTGGGTCGGTGTGCAACTCTCCACTGGCCAACTTTATTCAGTGTCATTGTTGTACTGGGACCTGGTTTGTCTTTACTTATTTGCTTCTCACTGTCCTAGCCTTCCTTCATAACTATTTTTTTTGACCAGTTTACAAAAATGTGTTGTTTTGTTGTTGATTTTTCTTTTTCTTAGTGCACCCCCAGGCATCCGCAACAAAATAACACCCACCACAAATGTCTTGAATTCAGCTGAGCTATTTCAAAAAGACCAGGAGCTCATGGCTGAGAGTACACTTTGCTTTCAGCAGCCTGTAATCACAGAGAAGCGGTGGGCTGAAAATTGTGTCACTGGAGCTAATTGCAGGTAATTAGAAGCCAGTTGTCCGCTTCTCCCAGTTTTGCTGAAAATAAAAAAAACAGTGGGTCATCATGTTTTTTTAAGATGTGTTGCATTCAGTTCTGTGGATGTGTTTAACCAAAGAAGCTGCCATGGTTTCGTGTGGACGTGAGCAATGGTATCTTTCTGTAAAAGCACAAATCAGCACATTTTAATAGACAGATTTAGATGTACATCTCTCTGCTGTGGCCCGGTTTGAGATTTTATTCGTAGTTTACATTTCTGATACGCTGTGAAAAGATAAGATGAAGTGAAAAATATAAAGACGCAGTCAGGAGCTGATGCGTTGAGTTGTGCAAAAACAAACAGGATTCTAGTGTTATGGCATTGATACTGTGAAACGCAGTGGCGCAAAAAGTGGCTATGCAGCGCATCCAACGCATAGGGGCGCTGCACCAGAGGGGGCGTCAAAACCCCGTCTGATGGGGGCGGCGGACCGATGATGCCTTCGCATACACTTCACCGCGCCCTTACGGTCCTTCACCTCGCGCACATGTAAATTGTAAATGTAGCGAGTTTTACCTTTTACGTGTCTTCATCTCGGGGGGGTGGTAGAGCGAGCGTATGCTTTCTACGCTCCTTCACCCTTACGTACCTTCCTTCGGAATAATATGTAGTTGGTGAAAGGTACAAAGACATCCAGCAAGTCAAAGCACAAGCTCACTCCCTCAATCCACTATCCAGATGATTTAGAGCCATCCCCATGTATAAAACCAGCATGACTTGGATATGAATCATTTTTTAATCTTCCTAATTAATTTCGATGTTTTCCATCTTTGTGTGATTTCTTTGCAAGCAGAAAACGTCAGCAGAATATCAACACTTAGAGATCCACTCCCTTTCAAATGACTGACACCTTTCCCATTTCAAACATTCAGCTTTAGTACATGTTGCCCTCTTTTCTCTCAGCCCCTTCTCCAGCCTGGCTTCAGTTTCCATTTTTATCCGTACTTTTCACTTCATCTTCCGTCTCTGCTTAATGGCCTCTGTTTAGTTGTGCTCCAGTGAAGTAATGCCGTTGGTGTTGCTGCTTAGAGGTGAGTGTTCTGGGGCAGAATAAGCTGCAATATGCCTCCTATCCATTATTGATCCATGATTAACTAGAGTTCAGCGTGGGTTCTAGGCTCCAACGCTGATAAAGTAGACTTGGCAAAATGTGGAGAAGGGATATAGCTTTAGCACAACCCCAACAAACAGGACAAGCTGTGCTCCTCACCCTGTTGGAAAGCAGCCGGCCAGGGTAAACGTTTTTGTGGTATTTTTGGTGGAGAGTGTAAAATGACTATAGGGTTGGTGCTGATAACAGAGGCCAAAAGTAAAAAGATCCTCTCCCCCTTTACCCTCCTTCAAAAGCTATCTCTGTCATTCGAGGGAATGCTCCACAAGGCGGCATTACAGACCCGCTGATCTTGATGCATTTTGACACTGATGGTGCTCAACGTCTGACCTTTGGGCTGCGGAGTGCTCTCAGATACGCATAGCTTACGTCCCCAGCTTAACAAGGATTCATGCACAGCAAACCAACTCCAGGAGCAAAGTACCAGGGTGCTGCTGCTCCTACAAGGGGTGAGATCTTGTCTTCTTGTTTGAGTCATACGGGAGAACGTTTTCAGTAGTGGCACTCCTTTGGAAGCATCAAGACAAGCCTGCGATGTTTTTTTAATCTTCTGCTCAAGACAACACTGAACTGTTTCATGCTGCGTCGACCAAGCTCTTATTTGTGATGTTTGGTTCCTTGAAATAACTTGCTTTGAAAAGTTTGAAAATCTGGGACTATATGAACCAGCTGATAAACACATCAGAAACAAAAAAATGCGTGAATGTGGCGCTGATACGAACCTCAACCTCAAGAAGAAACGAAGCAGACCTAAATTTCCTAAATTTTTACCCTTGGGTGTGACTGCGTTGAAGTTTCCCCACATCAAGAGCTTTGATGGGTGCTCTAACTTTAGAGTCAGAGTGAAATCTCAGCACAGCCCTGCACTTTAGCAACTTGCACTGCTCTCCAGGGCTTCGTCATTAAACATTCACCGGACACACACACACGCGCACACAAGACGTCATCTTGGGAGGACTTCATGTGGCCTTCACCTGTCCAGCCTTTGTTTTCTGACAGAATGTGCCTTCAGTGGACTTCACAGTTTCTGTGTGAGAGATGGTGTAAGATGTCATCCTGGAACACCAAAAATGATTTTTGCATATTTTGAATAAAATGTTTATTCTTTTGAACCGTGCTCTTCCTCAGATAAGAGTTTATATAGATCCAAAAAAAAAAAAAATCTTTAATTTGTCACCTTCAAGCCTAAAACAATATCCAATAAAACAACATTCCAGAGAAAAGGAAAACATTGCAGACACAAATGTAGAATAAACCACAAAAAATAAATAAATAAAAAAAATAAAGCAAACATTTGTTCGGTCTCCTTGAGGTAGTCAAACAGAAAACACACTTGGCAAATAATAAATAGTAGCAAAGAACATTTTCTTTTTCATAAGCCAACATTCTCATAGAATCACTGCTAGTTCTTTTTACAGAAATTAAAAATGCTATGCTTAGCATTTTTTGGCTAATGTCAATTACCCATAGTGACTATTCAGTTTTTTATTTTGACAACTGTAGTTTTCTTTATTAGTATTCCTGCCATTAACTGTTTATAGTAGCAACAGAGCTGGTATGTTTGTATGCGAGTACTCACTCTACAGTGTTACAGACTGACTTAAACTGGCTGCAGCATCTTAATGCATGCTACTTGACTAGAATTAAAATAACACCTAAATGAATTTGAAAACTTTATCTTTTTCATTCAGTAAAGTGAGGTGCAGCTCTAATAGAAAATAAAAACCAACAGAAACTGAAACTCTTATTTGTTTCATATTTGTGTACAAGCAAATGTTAGAACCACAGTACAGCTGGGATTGGAGGACAGAAAGGGAAAATATTCAGGTTTTTGTTTCTTTTGTCACTTAATTTGCTTTTTCCCCCATTTGACAAGTACAACAGTAAGTAGACTATTGTAAATGTTATTATTTTGAGTTGCTGACAAAGTTTCATTTAAACTGGTTGTCAGAAGAAGGTACATCTAGAAGTTATTTTGAAAGTTTGTCTTATCTCTGAGTCTTTGTGCTTCCATGAGGTAATTTATACTTTTGTTGTATGTAGAAACTCCTGGAAACATCTTCCTGGATCTGTCCAAATGTGTACACATACTTAATGTGCAATACGAATCTGAGAAATAATGTAAAAACATCACAAAACTTCATTTTTTAAATTTCCTATTGACAATATTTTTTAGACAATTTTGATTTGGAATTATTGTCTTCGGGGAAACTGAAGTGGCTGAGCAGATGACAGTTTTTCCACCCAGATTTTATGACATCTGACCTCGTCTTTGAAACGCTTACTGTGTTCTTCCTGATGGGGAGCAGAGCGCTTTAAGCTCTTATGGAGTCTCTGACACCTTGAGAGGCTTTGAGGTCGAGTACATGTAAGCTGACGGGGCCATCGGTCTTTAGATTTGTTGTGACCTGTGAGTTGTTTACCTACTCGCAAGCCATCATGTGAGTCATTGTGGTCACCTGAATGCCCGGGATAGAAAACAGTCTGAAGTGAAGGAACGTTTTAGATGAGGATTGAAATATTAAATCCTTATCTATTAAAAACTTATTTCCAGGTTCTATTATCTTAATGACTTTAAACTTGACTGTCGGCCATATTTCATAGTTTAACTTTGTAAATAGACAAGTCACTTTTACTGTGACTTTGCTACTGTCTCTCAGCGAAGCGTGTTATGGATTTGTGGCACAAAAGCTCAGACCTCATTAAATTTTAACAATGTTTTGGACATAGTTGGGGCACTTTTTCTCACTTTCCTCTATGGTTGTGAATTACAACTATGCCTTGATATGCAATTATTTCCTGTGTTGGCAGGTTGGAGCAATGTGTGGAATGAAAACAGTTCTTGCTTACTTTTTGTGAATTCAATGCTCGGGTCAATTTCCAAGGGCAACATGTAGACTCCAGCTATAATCATCTAATTAGTGAGAGTTTGAGTTTTCCAATTAGCATTCAACCTTGAAGTTTCATACAGAGACACAACTCACCATCTGTCAGCACAATGCAGGGCAGCTCTCTGTGATGGTGATGCACTCACAGCCCTCTAACTGTGTTTGTTTTGGCTGCAGGAACTTCTACTACATCACCATGCTGCGAGACCCGGTCTCCCGCTACCTGAGCGAGTGGAAACATGTCCAGAGAGGAGCCACGTGGAAGACGGCTCTCCATATGTGCGATGGACGCTCACCCACCCAAGACGAGCTGCCCACCTGCTATAGCGGTGACGACTGGTCCGGTGTCACCCTGAAAGAGTTCATGAACTGTCAGTCAAACCTGGCCAACAACCGCCAAGTCCGCATGCTGGCTGACCTGAGCCTGGTGGGCTGCTACAACATGTCCTCGATGAACGAGAGCCAGCGCAACCACATCCTTTTGAGCAGCGCCATGAGCAACCTGAAGAACATGGCTTTCTACGGCCTGACTGAGTTCCAGCGCAAGACACAGTACCTGTTTGAGCGGACGTTCAGCCTGCGCTTCATCTCCGCCTTCACGCAGATCAACAGCACGCGGGCGGCCAACGTGGACCTGAGCGAGGCCGTGCGCAGGCGCATCGAGGAGCTCAACTTCCTGGATGTTCAGCTGTACGAGTATGCGAAGGACCTGTTCCTCCAGCGGTTCCAGTACACCCGGCAGAGGGAGCACCAAGAGGTGCGATTGAAGAGGCGCGAGGAGAGACGCTGGTTGAGGGAGCAAAGGGACCAGGGCAGACCATGGCCGTCCAAACACAAAGGAAGCGGGAAGGGAGACGGAGGCGTATTTGAGAAGGAAACTGAAAATGACCTGCCCACCACCACTGAGGACTATACAAGCCAAGTGGCACGTTGGTGAGGTGTCATCTAACAGAGAGCTGCAACAGACTCTCGTACATCTTAAGAGTCTCTTTATTCTTCACCATTGTTCTGTCTTATGCATTTATCTGTTTTGTTTGGTATGAGAGCTTTGTTTCTTTTTGAAAAAAATGCAGTCTTTTTGTCTCTGAGAGCCTTTAGTGTCTTAAATTTATAAAAATTGCTCATAAATTGTCTCATTTAACTACTGCCTTAGTTTTACTTTGCAAAAACGATAGAGTAAACAAACAGAAGATCCTGACTGCATTGATTTTAATACCCACAAAAAGGTTTTGAATGTGTTTGAAGTTGTTATTGGTGTTCAGACTGTTTTCACTCCAGTGGCTTTTTGTATTTTTGACTAAGAGTTCCAGACATCATAAATAGATGGAGAGGGCAGCCTTGAGCATCAGTTTTTAATGCGTTACAAACACAAAGTGGAATATGTGAATTTATCAACAAAGCAGGAGCATTTCTTGAATCTGATCTTTGCTGGCCAGATTTGTCCAAACAACTGGTGAGTCGACCAACAGTTGAAATGTAACAATAAGCTGGTAGAAAGAGGTGAGGAAAATCGCAGCTCATGTTGGGTCTGTGTGTCGCTTTCTCTTTGAACCACTTCACAAGTAATAAAAAAATAAAAAAAAACTAACAGTACTCGTTATAATGTAGAACACTCAAGGAAATGGGAATAGTTTCAACAATACAAATGACACAAATCAGAGATGTCACAATCAGGGCATTTTCAATTGACAGATATCAAAGCATGTGACTGAACTCGGCTAGTAAATACTGCCTATGATTTGATCAGCCCTAAGCGAACCCTCCAGCAGCATTTTACATAACTTTCTTTTTTATATTTATTTATGCTCTCCTTTTTATGTGCACGGCCTGCGAAGCTTTAATATATGCCATCCACATTATTTTGTTGATCTAAACGAATTTGAGTTTTCCCTACTAATGTAGGTCGGTTTTGTCCCCCACTATGACTTTCAGAGTGAATGACAGAACATACGTGCCACTGCAGCTTCCTGTTTCTCTGGTCCTGACCTACATGTGTGCTCAGCTGTCGGTGCAGAAAAAAAAAAAGCCTTGGAGAACTATTCTTTTAATTTCATGACCCTCAAAGGAAAGTGACAGTTAATGAAAAGATATAACTTTTTCAGTCCTTTTCTCCTTTTTTTTTTGCCTCATGATTAATAGAGTCTGCATTGAAATTTTATGAGTCATATCAAAGCAGAGTAAACATGCTAGCATAAGCCTAGACCTTCAGCAAACTGCTGCGCACGCACATTTTAAGGAGGAAGATTATGATTGGTGAGCTAGTTCAGGGGGATACAATCACATTGCTAATGTAATACAGATGATATGTAGTGCTGCTTGTTGGTCATTCAGTCCTTTGCTATTTTGCACCTGTGTAGCTTTGGTTATGTTTTTTCTGGATACAAAATATATTGAACCGACACTTTGACAGGGGACCATAAAGTAAAAGCTACTGAGGTTTTGAGAAAATCCATGACTTTCATTTTAACTAGGCATCAGTCTAGACGAGGTGCCCATCGATCGGGAATGAGCAAATGCCTATTCTTATAAGACTAATCATTTTGGCAGCAAATAAAAATCCTGATTAGGACATTGATAACAGAAATCCTATTTTATCTGAAAGTCTTAAAGGCCGTGCATGGTCAAGCCGCATGGCCTGACGAACCTTTCACCCCCTAACTATTGTGTGATTGGTCAGAATATTATAGTTGTGTTTGTTTATGTGGAAAACGGTTCCAAATACTGACTATCATAAAGTAGGTTTTTCAGTCAGAGAGCAGGATGGATAGTTGAGAGGAGCGATTGTCAGAGACCGTGAGGAATAAGTATGTACTAAAACATACTCCAGGCAGAGTTTAGTGACCAAAACACTAAACACTAAACTGCTCAGTTCTTCTGATCCACTGCAGCCGGCGAACATCCCAGCGATGCCTTCTGTTCTTCTTTAGCTTTTTACAATATGGACAATAAAATGAAATGCTTTAACTCATCAATGATTATTTCCTCGGCTTGTGTTTACTTTCCTGTTTTTAACCAGACATATGACAAAACACCAGGACGCGTAGCTCATGCAGCGGGAGGGGTTTCACAGGAGCTCATTTCAGTGTATCTTGTGGACCTTGAAGGGTCTTTGCGAAAACGGATGTCCCACCTTCACAGATGTCAACCATGTGACCGCACTTCGGCTGTTTGACCACACTGGGCCCTTTAATTAAAGAACAGATGGTTGCATGTCACAGAAACACAGTATATCTGAAACACAGAGTTTCAGAATATGATTTTTTACACTTAAATAAGCTCTGGCTGATTTAATAAAAATCTCAGTCGAGTCACTGACATCAACATGTCTTTCTTGAATAACTTTCTGACCTCCAGTACTTTAGTGCTGGATTTTTTCGAATTTGGAAAGCCTAACTCTCCAAAATGGACATCTTTCTGATATTTCTTTCTTATACTTTTTTGATGTGACTTTAGTGAGAGGCATAAAAAGGCTCTTTCAGGCATCTGACCTAAGTTCTGTCACTCAAAATATTGCCCATTTTCGTCTACTTGCAGAAAAGGCAAACTAAACAACTCAGACAAAAGACATACTGTTTTGAGTCTAATGGTTTTTTTAAAAGACAATGTTGTTTGCATGTACCCAAATAACCCAAACTATTCAAAAAATGTGTATGCCAGTTTTTTTTGTTTTTTTTGTTTTTTTTTTGCTGTTGTTTTCAAAACAGTTTTCTAATGCACAGTATGTGGTATCTACTGACAGAACAACTTCTGTTTGGTCCATGCATGTTTTTGTAATTTGATGTTCACTGCGAATGCAGGAGTGATTCTTACTGAATCATTTAGATACATAAACAAAACAAAACGAACAAAAAAACTACCCCTACCAGTAAAAATGGTAGGGGTGTTTTCAACCTTGGGCTCACAGTTTAGTAAAGCTGACGTTTTTTTTTTTAAAGTACTTATCCTCATCCCAACTTATCAACATTTTAGATTAGCATTTTTCTTCTGGTCCATCTATTTATTTTGTGGTTAATAAGAAATTGTTACTATTTTTGAGGGATACAGAAGAAACCTCCAATAGCCACAGTGTACATTCATTGATGGCCAGAAAAATGGAGCAAAAAAAAAATCTGCCTATTATTTATGTATTTATTTATTTCACTAAATAATAAAAATGTGCTTCATTTTGTTGTATTTTGGATTTCAAAATGAAAATAATATCACACCCAGTTGCCGAGAAATGCACGGACCTATTCTCCACCTGTAACTTTTATCAAACGTTGTATTTGTTGTGGGGGGGGAAAAAAACAAAAGAACAATTAAATGGTACAAGAGTGGTAAGCTGGTTCTTTTTGGCAGAGTTGATAGGTATTTGATAAACAATGAATGTGATGAGTTGGGTAAATGTTGGTGGTATGCGGCCTGACTGGGAATGAGATGATCAGTATTCAGTCGCCATGCCCCTCCCCTGTCACACTGGCTGCTTCTTACATATTTGTAGAGCTGACGGCGTCTGTGCTGTGGGCACCGACATCGCTCTGATGGCAGCGGAGAGCCAGAACTCAAAGACAAAGCCTGAGAGAAGATGGTTGAAGAAAATAAAACCTTTCTGTTGCTTCTCTGTGCCTGATAGTTTCCGGCCCCTCAAAGCTCGTTTTTATCTGCTTTAAAAGGCTTTAGTGGCCTTTGTGCTTTGATGTGTCTTATCTCATGCTCACTCACAGTGCATACATATCAAATTAAATGTATGCTAAATGTCAGCTCAGATATCTGCTGCTGTTATGTTAATGCAATTTGTCATGTGTTTTTTTTTTCCTCTTCCTGATTGCACTTTCTCATGAAATACCTCATGTTGCACCGTTTTGCTTAATCTCGCTCCATCTTGTCTGAGTGATTCATCGAGTCATTGCAGAGCATGTGTTGAATGAATATTTTGTCAGCTAATGGGAAAGGCGTACATGTATATGCACCTGCTGGTATGGAAGCACTTACATCAGCAGCGGGTAAAAAGAGGAGGAAGTGTGTTGCACATTCTGAATACTCACTCAAGTGTTTCAAGTGTAGCTCACAACATTATAGGACAGTTCTGTGCATGAAGAATTCATGCCATTTTGAATGTGGCAGCAGAAGAATACTTCAGGAACATCCCTTCAAGAGGTAATTATTGTATATTTTAGAATGCTTTCCCAATATCTCCCAAAACAACACTTTAAAAGCCTTTCCTCTGAAACTCAGAGGCATTATTCTTTTGAGATAGACTTTAAATATTTCTATCAGTGTAACTCAGTTAGCAGGATGCAGACTTTTTCCCCCGTCTTTGAAAAAATAGGGAAAAAAAAACAAACAGTCAAAGCAGTTTATTCTCTAAACTATTAATTTAGTATTTATAAAAAGTTTTCACAGAAAATGCTTAGACCTTTGCCTCACTTTTTTATAGAACATTTTCTTTTTTGGTAAAATGTTTACTTTAAAGCTTCACTGTGCAGGATATAATCTAGAGTAGCGGTTCTCAACGTGGGCGGTACCGCCCCCCAGAGGGCGTTCAGAGGACGGCAGG